TATAATTTTTCAATTAAAACCCATGAACTTTGTATTGGAAAAAATACATATTCACCTTAAATAAGGTACCAATTAAGTGACCAGCCTAGTGCTGGATTGGGCGATGTGTATACGGAATGGTGATGACTGAAGCGTGAACCTAGGTTCAACAGAATCAACTCTTTCGATGTCGCCAGATTTACAGACACTACTGAGATCAAAATTCCAACATGGCAATTCTGAATGTATGGCGAGACATAAGCTGACAACACTGAGGACCCATGGGCCAACTCTGAGTTCACATTTTTCACCAACTCCCTTCGCTGCTGTGTTCAAGACAAAAACTGTTCTCTTACTTAGGGAAATGCTACAGCATCTTTTGGAATGAGAGAGAAATTTTAAAAATTGTTACTTTTACCCCATTTCAGTTTATTGTATCTGAAGTGCAACTCAGTTTAGTCGCACTGAACATGGACTCTGCAGTCATGTCTTTTACCGAGTGGCTGAAGGTTGAGGTTCAGCTGCAGACACTGAGGGGCGGAAAGACACATTCCTTACAAAGCCTCATTTCCTACACTGTTATTCAGTAAGGTCTCCTTTATTGTTGGATATTGAGAAAATGCACAATACACAAACAGTCCTAAAGATGTTGGATTGTACATGAGAGAAAATATTGGCAAAATTTTACTTGCAATATCTTTATTACTTACATAAAATAATAAATATAACATTCTACATGACATTTAATTCAGATGATAGCTAATTATAGAATTATTCTATGATATAGATGGTTGAACTTCATGTATTGTTTTAAAAATTAATTTCATGGTTGTTGGTTTTTTTTTTTTCTGTTTTCTATCCCTGGGTTTCTGTGTAGTCCTTCCTTTATGCATTACATTTAAAATAGAATATCTCAGGCATTGAAAGATGAAAGGTTTTACATCAATTCTCTTTTTATGTTTTTAGAATTTGTGTTTAAACATTTTTAAATGCCTGAGACATTGGAAACAGGCAGGAATCAAAGGAATCCTTCTCCATTGTTGGTGTGAGAGCAGACTGGTGCAACCACTATGGAAATCAATTGGAGATACCTCACAGAGCTGGGACTAGAGTTTCAATTTGACTCAGCCATGCCTCTGCTGGGTATCTTTCCAAAAGAATTATAAGAACCATACCACAGTGATATATGCACACCCATGTTTATAACGGCCCAGTTTGTAATAGCTAAAACTTGGAAATAGCCCCTGTGCCCATCAGATACAGAAGATGCAGTTTTTTATAAAATGAAATACAACTCAGCCATAAAGAATGAGAAATTAGCCGGGTGTGGTGGCGCATGCCTGTAATACCAGCACTTGGGAGGCTGAGGCAGGAGGATTGCTGTCAGTTTAAGACTAGCCTGACATACAAAGTGAGTTCCAGAGCAGTCTGATCTACATAGTGAAACCCTGTCTCAAAAAAACCCAAAAAAATAATAAATAAAAAATGAATGTGAAATTGGAGTCATTCATAGGAAAATGGATGCATGTTGAGAATATTCTCTTAAGTGAAATAAGTCACACAAGTATAAATACTGAATAGTTTTTCTGATGTGAAAAACTATAATTGTACATAGGATTCTAATGGCATATTTGACCATGTGAAATAGGAAGAAAAGGACTAAAGTTGTAGCAGAAGTGGGAAGTGTAGGGTAAAGGAAATAAGGTAAAAGAAATTGTGCATGAAAAAATGAAAAAAGTAGAAATAAAGTATAAATAGGGAAGGGAGGAGGGGTGAAGGGAGTACAGGGGTAAGGGGAAAAATGAGAACCAAGAGCTGTCATGTAAAGGTACAAGATCCCAATGATAAATGTAACTCTACTGTATACCTAAAATAAACCAATAAACTCAATGAAAAAAAAATTTTGAATCCATGTCTTACTATTTCTATTTCCAGCTTCTGTAAGTTTTAGTCCTTCAGGTAGACCAGTATTGCTATTTTAACTCTTCTCATCACTTGTCCATACTCATGTTCAGTTCTAAGAAAATCTTTGTCTTTATATATTACTGAGAATCAATCTCAGTTGTAATTCATCTCTTTCCCTTAAAAAAGGATATTTTGACACCTTTCACAGAGATGTCCTCTGGATTTCATTGAAAGACTCAAAAATAGCCTATTGAAATGCATTTTGTTTCAACAAATGTTTTTGAAAACACATAGTGAATCATTAAAGCTTCTCCTTTTCTCAAATAAGCAGCCAAAGCTTCAGTGGCATTCATTGTTCCCTAAGTATGATATATAATAAATATACACTGAAGTAGAATTGTGTGAGGAATTCGATATTAGAGTTTTACATTCATAAATGTCTGACCAGGGGAAAAACATAGATACAGTAAGAAGGAAAAGGTCTCTTAGAACATGGAGGACTATTTAGCCACACTTTGATCCACAGGGTTTGAATTAAGTAGAATAATCTCACTTGTTGAGCTTTCTGTCTCAAGGCTTCAGGCAGCTCTATTTTCTCTTTCTTTCGATTTTTAAAATTCCCTATCTTCAGTCTTTTTCTAAATAAGAAGAAAAGGAATGGTGGCCACACAGCCAGTGGGATTCAAATCACACCCAAAGCGTGGTAGTGGAACCAGGACATGCTGTGAGCAGTTAGCTGGAGGTGCTTGACTCCTTTGAGATTTTTGGCAAATTCAATCCAAAAGGCAGCTGAAGCCAAGGGACTGATAGGCTGATCATGTTTACAGAATTCTCTGTAAAGAAAACGTAAAATGAAAAAAAGACATGACCTTTTTGAATAGACGAAAAGTTCAGATTGTTGTGTAGCTAATAACACATAAAAAAGGGAGAAAAATCAATTATTTTCTTCAAGGATCTATACTGAAATCATAATGTACAGAGCAGAATTTTCAGAACACCAATATTTTAACTATATGAAAACAAAGGTTAGAAGAACATAAATATTTCTAATGTAAAGATGGCAAGCAGTCAATTGCCAATGGAAAAACCAATAACAGAAAACAAGCAATACATAGTATAACTTTGAAGAGTATAGAACTTCAATTATACAGTAATCAATTATTAATGAATCTGTTTTACAAGGTTCAAAACTGTACCAAAACTTAGAAGAAGAAGGTAAGTCCATACTAATAAAGAAAACAAGTTTACAGATTAACGCAAAAATATCTTATAAACTTTACAAAAGTTATATAATATACGTATATAGAAAAATAATAAAGTGGAAAAAATTAAAGATCTGTGTAAATGGAAATGTCTTTCATATTCCTGTACTGAAAAATATTAACAAGAATTTCCTCATTTCCAAATTTATATTCACATTATACACTGTCAGCATCCTAATGAGATTTCTTGCACAAGCTGAAAAATTTAGCCTATAATTGCAAGTCAATAGACAAGCCATCTATGAACATCCAAAACTGCCTGAGCAAAGAAATTCAAAGCTGGAGGATTGCTCCTGTTCATGTCAACATTAAGTGGATAAAAGATATTTATAGACAAGGAAAACAATGACACTATTTTATTTTGAATTTTGACCAATATAAAAACACCATAACGCTGCAAAATTGAAGAGCCTAGATTTCTTTTTTTTAATTTTTTTTCTCATTGAGTTTGTTGGTACATTTTAGGTATGCAGTACAGTTACATTCATCTTTGGGATCTTGTACCTTTACATGATAGGTCTTGTTTTTAATTTTTCCCCTTATCCCCACCCTCCCTTTAACCCCTCCTCTCTTCCCCATTTACAAAATCTTTGTTCACATATTTTCATTTTCTCATATTTTTTCTATTCCTGATTTCCTTTCCCCTACCCTTGGCACTTCCCCTACACTTTTAGTCCTTTTCTTTCTATTTCACATGGTCAATTATACCATTAGAATCTTATTTACAGTTATAGTTTTTCTCACCAGAGAAACTATTCAGTATTTACACGTGTGTGACTTATTCATTTCACTTGAGTATAACCTTAATATGCATCCATTTTCCTATGAATGACTCTAATTTCTCATTCTTTATAGCTGTGTAGTATTCTAATTTATAGAAAAACCACATCTTCTTTGTAAACCAAGTGCCTCTTGGTTCTGAGCTCTTCTAAAAAGACAGGACAATAGCTGATCTGTGATTACTGCTGTTTCTTTAGACCATTGTGAATATCTGGTGTTCAAAATCCTGCCACATCCTCACTCTACCTTAGCACTCTTCCTCAACTACTTTAGGGAAGTCACTGCTTGTTTTCCTTAATTTAGTCCTTTGTTTCATAAGGAAGTAGTCTAAGCTGTCCAGTTAGGCATCTAGCTGTTATCTTGAGGAAGAGTGAAGGATATACTATAGATAATTGAAAATTAGAATGTTAGATTTTTCTGTAAAAATATTATGAAAGACTGAATTACACAGTATAAATTACTGAAATGTATGTATATAAATTATACACCCTAAATTGCTTACAAAACTTTTCTGGAATCATGGCATCCAAGATTTGTCTGTGACCAGTATATTTACTGTATTTCTAGATCCTTGTCATGAGATTGCAGGGACAGTCACCTTGTATTTGCTGCTGTCCTTGCAGCATAGCACTGACGTTATACAGGTGACTGATACTTGCTGGTTATTGAGTCCAAGCTAGCTGACATCACTTAACCATAACAGGGAAATTAAATGCTCTGATAAAAACCTGTAATCATTTACATTTTCCTTCTCTCTCTGCTATTAGTCCAGTCCTCATGTTTTGTCCATGTGATATACGTACTTTGATCTGTCCAAGTTAGCTTTTAACTTCTTGATTAATTTCTAACTAAATGTAAGCATAAATAATGATAGAAGACAGCACAATTTGTGAGCATCTCTACATTTTATCAAGATGTCCATGACATGGATCTCTGCCCTGCTATTGCTACAACTGAGTGCTATTAGTCCAGTCCTCATGTTTTGTCCATGTGATATACGTACTTTGATCTGTCCAAGTTAGCTTTTAACTTCTTGATTAATTTCTAACTAAATGTAAGCATAAATAATGATAGAAGACAGCACAATTTGTGAGCATCTCTACATTTTATCAAGATGTCCATGACATGGATCTCTGCCCTGCTATTGCTACAACTGAGTTGTTATTTCAACTCTGGGAGCTGTGGAAAGGTGCTGGTGTGGCCAATGGATTTCAGCCACTGGTTGAACATAAAGATCATACTAGAGGAACTTATCCAGAGGGGACATGAGGCGACAGTTCTGAGGCCTTCAAGTATCATTTTTGCTGATGTTAATTCATCATCCAAAATTAAGTTTGAAACATTTCCTACATCTGTCAATGAAGATCAATGGAAAGAAACTTCTACTCAATTGATCACTAAGTGGATGAATATGGGATCAATAGAATTCTTTTTCACACATTGTCTACAGGTAGAAAACATTTTTAAAGAGTTTTCTGATAGTTGGAGAAATTTTTGTAAAGAAGCAGTCTCAAACAAGATACTGATGAGGAAACTCCAAGAATCAAGATTTGATGTTCTTCTTGCGGATGCCGTGGGTCCCTGTGGTGAGCTGGTGGCTGAGCTTCTAAAAATACCTTTTGTGTATAGCATCCGTGGCACTCCTGGCTTCCAACTGGAAAGAAATGGAGGAGGGCTTATATTTCCTCCTTCTTATGTACCTGTTTTAATGTCAGGACTAGCTGGTCAAATGAGTTTCATAGAGAGAGTAAAAAACGTAATGCACATGCTTTATTTTGACTTTTGTTTTCTAATATCTAATGAAAAAGAGTGGAATGAACTTTACAGTGAAGTTTTAGGTAAGCCATGCTTTTAATTAATACAATGAGTTGTTTTTGTCTCTTTTTTTCTTTGTTTGTTTCTTTTTTGAGACAGGGTCTCACGATGTAGTTGAGACTCACCTGGAACTTATTGTGGAGCCCAGGCTGGTCTCGAACTCACAGCGATCCTTCTTCCTCAGCCTTCTGAGTGCTCTGATTACAGGCATGCGCCACCACACCCAGCTATAAAATTAGTTATTTAGTATCTTGTGCCTTTGTAAATGAGTTTGGATGAATATAAAAGAAGAGGACTTTGTGTTTTATAGGTTCATGATGAAGTAAAAAGT